GAGAATAGACGGCAGAAGTAAGGGAGATCACACAAAGAAAACTGCGGGAATCTGTGGGGAGCTTCAAACAGGATGGTGGTGATGGAAATGAGGGAGTAAAAATAGGGGGGTGAGTATATCTTGGAAGGAGAATCTTGGACTTGGTAACTGAATGGAAGAGCGTTGTGAAAGAAAAAAAAAAGAGTCAAAGGAAAGAAAGTCTACAAAGCCAAAATTATTCCCTCTCCGCAAGTACCAGAAAAAACCCTAATGAGAAAGCTAGGGATTGTTCTTTCCTTATTTGCCCTTAAATATGTGATAGATTCACAGTCAAAGGGTCTGATAACATTCTGAAATCAAGGGCATTGAATTACTTCTTTCATAAGATATCCTTGGTCATGGTTGCTGCCAATGAAAAATCTATTATTATCTTTCCAGGTATATATCAGACACGTAACAAAACACATCATTTCAATTTATGGTAATACTGGAGTATTAAATTGTTCCCTGTGAGCATTTCTAAATCTGTTTTCCAAAGTTCCTTCCTCAAGTAACAAGACATTTATCATTAGAACTCCAGTTCCATTTGACTATAAAAATACAATTAATAATACTTTCCAGCAAAACATAATATGACTGCTTAATTAATCAGAGTATCAGTGCTATACCCAGATTTAGATTATGAAAGGAGTATAGACATTCAATGGTGACACATTTTAATTCAATAATATCTGTAATTTGGACACTTGATTTGTTTCAAAGACATTCTGTTGGCCAAGTTACCTGATAGCCACCTCTGCATCAATTATGAGATCCGGATATGTAATCAGCAGCTCCACATGAAGAGACTCTGGGTGGCACACTCTAATTTCCTTGTATTTCCTCCAACTCAATTTGTCTATCTAAAAGTGGCCATAAATCCTCTTGCAAGCTATTATTCTCTCCACCACTATATCCAGAACTTTTTAGGAAAGTTCTAAAAAAATTCCATCCTTCAAAACATTTTCCTAAAGTTTTTGGCAAAAAAAATTTGCATTCAAATACCTATTTCTTTACTATCCCCCTTGTACGTTTTCTTTACAACATTGTTTCTTAAGTTCGCTCCTTGAACTTTTTGATCACTGTATTCATTTTAACTTCATGCACTTAAATTATTCAATTCTAAGTGCAGTAATCTTAGAAATAAAAGTCCTTTATAAATACAATCTGTTACTGTATAGCGTAACTCAAAATGTAGGTAGTTCCATTTAAAACTCTACTTTGTGTGTGCTTGTACGCGTGTGTGTGTGCACATGCATTCTTATCAGGAGCTTTAAAATTTTCTTCTTTTCTTGGTTCTGACCTTCCATTTTCAATATCCTTTGCTTCTCACTGGATTGTGAATGTGCCCTTTCCCTATGTCTGAAAATCTTTCAACCTTCACCATTCATTCTAAGAATCAGCAATATGTTATGTTTTTATAGAACCTTTCTTCCAGGGAACAGAGAGTGTTTCATATATATTACCACATTCATCCTTAAAATTTCTCTCACAACACCCATAGCCCCGGCTAAACTATGTCTCGGTTGAAACCTCAATCCGTATCTTTAGTTCTTCCTCCCTTGACTGCTTTTCCTATAAACTCTGTAAATCACATTTTCAGAATCTTGCATCTGTAGAAAATAAGCATAATTCTATCACTCAAATGACTTTTCTTTCTAACCTTGTTCTTAGGATTCACCATATTTATTTCAAAACTTTACCATCATCTTCCCGGTAAGCATTAGGTTACTAAGGTCTCACTACTTGTCTCTGGAATTTCTCTCCTCCCTCAGGAAAGTGAAATACGCTGTTGATAACATGTTGTATCTGCTCTTTTCTCAACTGTCACTTCTCTTTAAATTACAGTTGTGTCACTTCTAAATTTCTTTTCTTTTTTTTTTTAAAGATTTTATTTATTTATTTGACACAGAGAAAGCAAGAGAGCGCAAGCAGGTGGAGCGGCAAGGAGACGGAGAGGGAGAAACAGGCTTCCTGCTGACCAGGGGCCCGGATGCAGGGCTCGCTCCCAGGACCCCAGGATCATGACCTGAGCCGAAGGCAGACGCTTAACCAACTGAGCCACCCAGGCGTCCTTAAATTTATTTTCTACTCATGATTAGAAGTCATATTCTAAGTTTTATTTGGTTTTTAGGTATATACTGAATTCATGTTTTTTTTTTTATTCTTATGTTAATCCCCATACATTACATCATTAGTTTTAGATGAAGTGTTCCATGATTCATTGTTTGTGCATAACACCCAGTGCTCCATGCAGAATGTGCCCTCCTCAATACCCACCACCAGGCTAACCCATCCTCCCACCCCCCTTCCCTCTAGAACCCTGTTTGTTTTTCAGAGTCCATCGTCTCTCATGGTTCGTCTACCCCTCCGATTTCCCCCGCTTCATTCTTCCCCTCCCGCTACCTTCTTCTTCTTTTTTTTTTTTCTTAACATATATTGCATTATTTGTTTCAGAGGTACAGATCTGAGATTCAACAGTCTTGCACAATTCACAGCGCTTACCAGAGCACATACCCTCCCCAGTGTCTATCACCCAGTCACCCCATCCCTCCCACCCCACCCCCCACTCCAGCAACCCTCAGTTTGTTTCCTACAATTAAGAATTCCTCATATCAGTGAGATCATATGATACATGTCTTTCTCTGTTTGACTTATTTCACTCAACATAATATCCTCCAATTCCATCCTAAAACGCTGGTTCCTTGCTAGTAAGAGCTAGAATTTGTTAATGTTTACTGTGAAGTAGTCACTTTGCTAAATGCCCAGGCAGATTGCCTTGTTTAATCCTTAACATAGGCATAAGAGCTCAATACTACTTTCTATAGATTAATGATAGAAAAACTAAGGTTATATATATATATATATACACACACACACACACGTGTGTGTGTGTGTGTACTCTAAGTGGCTGAACATACTGAAATAGCCAAAACATACCACTAATTATCGGTCTACATTGTCTCTGTACAATTAATTATCTTAGATTGAAAGTTTTAAAAAACAGCAATATTGCTTTTCTCAGAATTCATCAATTATCTATAAAACCCTGTATTTGAGGACTAAGTCTGGGCCCAAACTGTTCCAGAAAACCAATCTAAAATCTGACTATTTACTTAGATAAGATTACCAGTACTCAAATGTAAACATTTTTTCAGACTTAAAATAAGCCATTATCTTTAATCAGGCTTAAAATAATTAATTACCTTCAACATGTATTTTTAAATGAGCAAAACCATTAGAGAGAACTTAAGAGGAAAGAAATATCCTATAGAAGGTATGTCTCCTATTTTTGTGTCCTGAGCTATCCAGTTCCCCGTTTTGTTTTATTTTTCTTAGTGAAATTGTTTACTTTTGTTAGTTAAAGCTAGTCTGTTACAAATGGTCTACTTAATTACATGGCATTGGCTTTTCCCTTTGACTTCTTAATTCTGAGGACTTAATCAGCATTTCATATGCACTGGTTTCTTTTCCTGCTCATTTCTCTTCAGTCATCTTAGGGACATCAGAACCATGTTAAGGATACAGACATTGAGACAAAAGCAAAAATTAATCTACCTTTAAGGATTGTTTGGGAAAAGCTAATGGTTGTGCTAAGTATTTTCTTTTACAGGTCTATCATATTTCAAATACTACACACATAAGTCATATTTAACAGAGTAAACAAAAATGCCAAATGAATTACCAAATAAAGAAGTATGAATATATTCCCCCAGCAGTGTAATTCTTAAATAATATTACTTAATTTGAGTGTATATGAGAAAGGAAAGAAAGAGCTAATTATTTGAACTAAAACACCAAAAGATCAAGACTAAAAATATGACAAACCAAACTAATCTGTTTAGTTTTTTGGGTTTTGTTTTGTTTTGTTTTGAGAAAGAGAGACTGGGAGGGGACGGGGCAGGAGTAGAGGGAGAAAGACTCTCAAGCAGGTTCCACCCCACTGTGGAGCCCATTGCAGGGCTCGATCTCATGACCCTGAGTTAGTGACTCTGACTAAGATCATGACCTGAGCCGAAATCAAGAATCGGACGCTTAACTGACTGAGCCACCCAGGCGCCCCCCTATTTAGTTTTTTGATGTAATGTTAGTGTTACAACAGATTCCACAGTATTACAACATCATCTTCCATAAATTAATCATCAGTGCCTCTAAATCCTTGAATAGGAGGGCATTAAAAATAATCTCACTACAATAGATATTTTATTGATACAAAAAAGATCCAAATGATTTGGCAGATGGTTTTCTTTTCCTCTCTCTCACTTCAAGTGCATCTTTCCAATTTTAGGGTGATTTCTTTTAAAAAAATTACTATGGTGTGACAATTTCCCTTCAAGTCTACTTGATTTGACAAAGATGGTATTTATGCATTAAAAATTATTTCCTGATTAGCTGGAATCATAAAAAGAGTATGTAGCTTTTAAGCATTTTAAATGTCCTTCAGATAAGCTTTGAATCATTGACACTAAAGACGAGCCATGCCCATGTCAAATAAAAGATAAATTTTTCATGCAAACATGTATACCATATGAAAGCCATGCAAATGCTGCTTTCAGAAGAAGAAAAAAGACTTGTTTTTGTTTTGTTTTCTCAAATTAAGTTCTTTCCTCAGAGCACAATTGCAAAGTAAAGATTTACATATTTTTGACTGAAAATATAATTTACATGTCACAAGGTAAGTGACTTCACAATGTGAAGATTTCAGGACACTGACAGTTTTAGGTACCAGGTTATTAAAAAAAGACACGCAGATAGCCAAGGTTATTGTTGAACTTGATTTACTATACACTGGATAGAAATATCACCCAAATCCTTCACACTAAAACTAACTAAAATCTAAATACCTTGAGTATGGAATGGATTCAATGGTGTTTAGATAGTAAACTTGACCTCAAAAATAATGCAGTTATATGAAGGTTGTGTAGGAAAAAAAAAAATATATATATATATATATATGATAAGGAATATGTCAATATAGAAAAGTTAGCAGTTGAGAAAAAAATCATCTAAAAGAAGCACAGATTCTTCCATCCATCCTATCAACAAAAAAGGAATCAAGAGAACAAGAAGGAGAGCGTTTTCCTCTGCATTTCATTTATGTGAGTATAAAGAGATTTAACGTTTGTTACATAAATGAATTTGTTAAAGATGATAATGATGGCATTTAAAGAAAAAAATGCCAAATATTAGATCCTATTCATCAAACTCAGCAAGTTTAGAATCATAAAAAGAAAAACTTTTACTAGCTATTCATTTAGTAACATTTGCACAAAATAATGTATTGTCACAGATTGTCAGTGAACTGACACTGTGCCAAGTAGCCTTTGATTCAAACTTGTAAAAGAGTGAGATGAACAAAGGATATCAGACTCCACAGGGAGAAAAAAAAAGAGACAAGACATAGGATCATAGAACCCATAGAATTTTAAAGCTAGACAGAATGAAAAAACTATCTCATCCTTCTCCTATATCCTATATCTCTTTAGAAAAGCAAATAGAACAAGTAATAATAAGACTTTACTCAAGGGCTGATTACCATGCTCTAAAGTAATAATTATATAAATAAAGAAAATGTAAGATGTTATATATAGTACACAAAAGCATATTGAATATAAAAATTACTCCTTCTATAGTTGTATTTATAGAGTTGAAATAACTCAGGCAGAACTTGAAATATCCTTACAAGTACTACTTTTACAATGTCTAAAGTTTAAAGATATATTTAAATTATTTAAATATTCAAAGTATTTTCACTATTCTTCAACTATTTATTTTAAAAATAATTTTTTAAAAATGTATGCTCATACCATCTTGAATAAAATTATGTCTTATGAAATATTTCACTTTTTTCAAGATAGTTTACACATTTTTAATTTGGAATTTAGGGAGATTTTGGTAGTCAGCGTGCACATTCCAAACTCAAGAAGTAGTGTCACTCTATTTGTACATTTACTAGTGTATGATTCACACTAGTATATATATGCATGATAGTGGTTAGTAACACGCTCTAAAATTTATGACATCAAATGCCAACAGTTCTTTTCCTTTGTTTGTTTGTTTCCTTTGTCTATAATATTTATCATATTGTAAAATGTCAATAAATATTAATATTTCCACCATATATCTGCTTTTTAAAGAATTCAACACCTTAGTATTTATATATATTGTCAGAATACAGTATTATCTATAAAACATAGTCATTAAACTTAAAAATGTCAAGTATGCCTTTGGGTTGTTAAGGGGACACTACAATTTTCCATTTGATTTGAAAATAAATCAAGCAGCCACAGCATTCTCAAAGTAACACTATTAATTACTTCTGCTAATTACCTCTGAGCCGAATGAGTGCTTTTGGGGAAGGAGTAAAACAGTCTCCTATGTGGATTGATTTGAGAGACATCACAGAATCTCACCCTTTATCAGGCTGCCTCTAACTTTCCCCCTCCTTGGGGCTAGACTCTGACCTTCCCAGAACAGCAAAATCTGTCAGAACTTTTGTGCTGAACTCAAGTCTCTTCTGGACCTTCTGCAACATTGTCCTCTCCCAAGATTAATCTTCTAGCAGAAATAAAGGAAGAAAGGTATTTCTTAAAGAAGAGACACTCCTGTGCCAAACATAATTTATTTCCCAATTTTGACTAAGTTAGTGCTGTCTCTACTGGTGAGTTTTATCATTCAGGAGACATTCTAGAACATAAACTGATAGTGATTCATTACTATCTTAGCTGCTCAAGCTTAGAAGAAAAATTATATATTGAAAGAATAGGAATTTTTTGTTCAACAATTTTTTTGGAAAGGAATTTTGAAAATGTTCCTCCCAAGAGCTAATACAGACCCTTAATTCCCTGTCATAATCACCAGAAAGAGGTGAAGGTCATTTTCACTTAAAGGTAAATGGAAGAGAGAAACAATGTTTTAACATAGTCATAGTGTCCATCTATACACCAATAAACTGAAACGCCTGAGTGACTCAGTTGGTTAAGTGTCCAACTCTTGGTTTCAACTCAGGTTCATGATCTCCAGTTGTGGGATTGAGCCCCACATCCAGCTCTGTGGTCAGTGCGGAGTCTGCTTCAGATTCTCTCCCCCTTCCCCTCCCCCATGCTCTCACTCTCTGTCTTCCAAATAAATAAATAAAAATAAATAAATAAATAAATAAAGAGTACAACAAACTTTTTAACATGAAAACTCATTTTCAACATTTTTATCAATTTAGTTTCAAAATGTTTTCTAGGAAAATGAGTCTCAATTTCATATATAAAACATACATATTTTACTTTTGCTGCCTCATATGGATTTTTTAAAAATAAGAAAGCCCAAGCATACAGAATTTGGTATTTGGAAAGAATTTCACATGAAACTTTGCTAAAGCTGATTATGCGTGTGATTTGCCAAAATGAGATAAACACCTGGGTATTCACCAAAATTTGCCTCAATCTTTTTATTTTTATATTTTTAAGAATGGATTCATTAAAAGAAGATATTGTGGTTTAGTAAGAAAAGCATGAGATTTGGGGGCTGATCACTATTGGGTAAACGTCTCACTCTGCTGGTGATCAGTTATAAGAATTGAGACTACTTACCTGATCTGTTGGAAAGGGGTCATCTTAGCTATTTCATAGGGCACCCACGTGGATAAAACTGATTTTTGAACATAAAATTTCTGCTACAAAGCCTGACAAACAGCAGACAGTTAATAATTGGCAGTTTCCTTTCCATTTCATTTTTTACTAGAGCTTTATAAAGTAGTAGTTTTAACTCTTTGTTATACAATATATCCCTTATTATAATGCTAACAGGGTTTACATTCATGTATCGGTCACTGAATTATTCTGCTTAAGCTATGTACTAAGGTCAAAGTTGAGGCTAGTGTAGTCCTTATGGAGAGAGCCATCTGGTATATTCTTTACAAGAGCAGTAGATTGCTCTGATAATTGCAAAATCAAAACAGTGCA